AAAATATAAATATAGAAATAATATAAGGCTAAAGAATTTAAAATAGGTAATCTTCTAATAGATTTCAAATATAGTAACTAATATAAAATCTTCAAATAAACTATTTAAATTAGATAACCTAAAATTGTATGTGTGGCTAGTTGTACTCTTATAATATGTATCATGTTCTTCAATTAAAAACCAATAAAGTTTAACTAATAATATTTATATAAAGTAAAAAAAAAAAATATATAGATATATATATATATAAATATATATACATATATATATAACTAGCATTTCAAGTAGTCATATAATGACAATATTGACTCGAATATAATCTTTAAAATTAAAATATAAAAAAAAAAAAAAACCTGTTAGTTTTGTATATCATATCAACAATTAATATATCCTTTGCTATTGCAAACTCAAAAAATACATCTTGATGTACTCAAAAGATTACTTGAATAAATAAGTCATCTTGATTACGTTCATCATTATATTCAGGTTTAATTGCTATACTTGCTGTAATATTTTTATCGTTTTGTAAAGTTTTGAGTAGTATCTTAATTTCATATAACTCTTGTAATTTTTGCTGCTATTGATGACTCACAGTATTATAAATATCATATTTATACAGATACTTTGAGCTTACAAATGCTAAAACAGCATAAATATCATTTATTCAAAGTCTATTGTTATAAAGCCCCTCAATCATATCTAGTTTATTCTGATCAAGCTTACGTATATTACTACTAAATTTTCTAGCATCTGGATAAATCTCATGATTATGTTCCAAGCATAATTTAGTTATAGTGAATTCCTTCTTACATTTATGATAATTTATCCTAATAACAAATAGACAACCTGTTCGCTTAGTAGTATATGCTTCTTTTTTCCATTATAGCTTCCCTGTTTTTCACAAACAAAAAAAGCCTGCCTATAACCACTATCATCAGAATTCTTAGTGGTTTTTCCCAAGATTGTAACAATATTGGTTTGTGAAGCATAATTTTCTACAAAAGCACAAGCTTCATCAAAAGTAAAAAAAATACATTCTTTTTTAGGAACAACTGTATTAGTATTCATAATGTAAGGTAAATAACGAATATACAGTAAGATCAACGATGAATCCAAGGTCAATGGTAAGTATAAGGTCAACGATGAATGTAAAAGATCAATGATAAAATAAGGTCAACGATAATGTAAGATAAATGACAAATGTAAGTCAACAATGAATATATGGTCTAGTGTTGTAGGCGAAACCAAATTTTGTATATAAAATTGGGCGAAACTAGTTTCGGACTTATAGGGCGAAACTGAAAAATAGTTTCGCCTACAACATTAATAAAGACAATGATGAATGCAAGCCAATGATAAATGAATATAAGATTAACAGTTAATAATGAAATGAATTAAGATCAACGATGAATATAAGGATATAACGATAAGGTCAAAGATAAATTTGCAGATTTGAGACAATAAATCAATCAATTTATACTGTTTTAAATACGCAATCCTTTTAATTTTGATGTATATCAAATTGAAAATAATTATCGAATTTTTAAGAGACCAATAAACGCTGCGATTTCATTGGTCAAAAAAAATTGGTGATGTTACATGAAACTGTTGTACGAAAATCATTTCTCTTTAATATTTAGGGAAATTCTATTTTCACCTGGGTTTAAGTCACCCGATATACTATAATAACGTTCACGTGACTAAAATTAATAGTATTAGTAGGTTCTAACAAAAAAAAATTCATTATAAAATTTTGCATATACTAATGCCTAGATAAAATCCCAA